ATATCTTCGATCAAGCCTTCTTTTTGCCTTGCTTTTTCTAGCCATCTTGGCGATATCGAGCCCAAGTGTCGAGTACTCGCACAGCTCGTTCTACCCTACCGACGAGGCGAGATTGTGGTGCAAGCCTACAACGTACTGCTTAGCCTCGGCCACTTGCTGGCTGCCGCTCCCGGGGGAGCCGCAGAAGTCGAGGAAGCCTGGAGGCCAGAGGCGGTGCTTCTGCAGGAGAACGACTGTCTACATGCAGTCTGTGCCCGCAAGTTGGCGAGTGTCCAGCTACGCCTAAAGACAGGGGATAAAGGCATCCGACCGCAAAAGGAAGTTAGTCTGTCGCATATCAATCGTCTGATGGCTCATCAACTTGCGGGACTTTTGCAGGTAGACTACACATTTTTTTTTAAATTATATTTACAAAATGTCTCTTCTTTTTTCGTCAGATTAGGAAACTATCCTAGATTTCTTTTCATTTCACTATTCAATCTATTTATTATTCTTAACTTGTCCAGTATCATCTTTTATGATTATACGCAGTTTGTAGGTTTCGCGGTATATTTAAACCCAGAAAAGATTTCTTAAAATTATTTCTTCATCATCAGTTAAGATCATTTGATATAATCGCATGTGTAGCAACCCTATCTCTTCATTCTTGATTGTTAATTTGACTCTATTTCGAACCGATACATCATATCCTAGACTCACGATGTTGCTTTTGGTTAACCCATTCACGCTTGCCACATGTCTAGCCTATGGGACCCAGCTTAGACCAGAAATACTACTCAGAAGTCACCCAGGATTTTGCCTAATTTTATTTAACTCTCAATTTTGTGTAGCTTTCAATTATACAAGGCAACTCCGCCAAACCCAGAGTATTTTTCCTTTCAGTAAATTTGAACAAGCTTAAAAGATATCTCGCCTATTTTATCTTTCCATGTCTATTCTTCATTCTCTTAAACTGACATGTTTTATCCTGACTGTAAATATTCTTAAGAATTCTAAACTCTCTTCAGGAGTCCGAATTTATGAAATTGATTATAATGACCCTATTCATCTATTTTAAACCCCTACCTTTCTATCTTTTTAAGCCCTGTTTTGCGGCGCGCTGTATTCATAGTACTGAATGCTGGCCTTCTGTATTCTCAGACAGCTTATCATGCATTTACTTATTGTTTTCCTAGTCTTCTTAATCTGGATTTCGTTATTTGTTTTCCTTTATATGAAGAAAAACTGGGTTTCGAAGAATTCCTTAGTGATATATTGTGACATGACTTTACATTTTGAAAGAAAATTTGGTTGGAAGCAATTCGTGATGTGGTCTCACCAGAAACCAAAGGAGGATTGCCGCGTAAGGAGACTGTTGAATTATGCGAATAATTCCTCGGCTCATCGTCCTGAGACCTCGATAAAATTGTGCTAAGCCTTCCCCTTTACTGTGACAGACATTATTAGAATTATACCTAGATTTTGTATTATTTCTAGGCATAATTTACCTTCTAAGGCTAAGAATGATCTTTTGTGATGTATGCCATGATTCGGCTGATATTAGACTTAAGAAAAACATCGCAAAGCTACATTACTTAAGTAGAACTAAGGCTAGACTTAGGCAAATCTTGTCTGAGACTCTTAATTCGGAAAACTTTCTTAAGCTAAAAAGCATAGTGGATAGGTCACCTGACAAAGTTAATAAATCAAGAAATATGGGTATAAAAATTGGCTTAAGGAAACGACCCATATCTATTGAATTGAAGTGTAAGAAAGCCGTTGCCAAGAAGTAGTAAATCTGACCAAAACTTCATTGGAGATTTTTACTAAGGAGTTGCTAGCAAAAGGCCCAAAATTTTCCTTTCTAAATCGCTAGGACTTCAAGGAAGACATTTTTGTAGAATTGATAAGCTTAACGATTAGATTCTCAAGTGATACTTAATTAAAAGTTGATGGCCATGTAGAAACACCATATAAGAATAGGATAGTTACTAATAATATAAGGAAGCTTAAGGCAAATGAGCAATTAGTATTGAGGGCAGACGAAGGAGGAGCAGTAGTAGTTATGGATGGAACTGTTCATGTAGAGAAAATGATAGAGGCATTAGACGTTGATACAGCATATAAAACCATAATTATGGAATATGTCTAGCAGATGTAAGCCACAGGGACGAGGAGATTAGTAGATTGAAGAATATACGGTTTCAAAACAATTGTCCATTGGGATTAGTGAGCAATTACATATCAACGGCCAGTAAAAAGCTGCGGGGAGTTTGCTATTTGGGGAGACATAAACAATTGGACCATTCTACTCGTTTGCTGATTTTGCCTTCTTGTCAGCTTGCGAAAGAGTTGCGTGATCTACTGAGAAAATGTAACATAAAAGAGCAGCCTGTTACAAGGTTTTGTGTTCATCTGGTAAGGTCTATGTAGGGGAGACCTGCCGATCCATCCAGAAGAGACTATATGAACGCATAAGCTTTTTTGGGTCTAAAGATATGGGCTCGCTGAACATGTGGCCAATACAGGACACTAAATAGTCAATTGACTGGTCCAAAACACACCGTTCTGCTGGTTACGGGGACTTCTCATCAAAGCGTAAGATTTGGGAGTCTGTAAAAATTAACAAAACAGTCAACGTCTTGAATAGGAGGAACGAGTGAAGAAAACTAAGTGGGAACTATTTGTGGCTATTGGATGGGCTTGAGGCGAGGGAGAAAGAGAGAGAGTGCAGGAAGAGTCACTTGCGGCTGGATTAGCCGCAAGTTTAGCTAGGACTAGCACACTTCCCATAATGTGAACATTACATACACACGATAGACAATAAGACAAGTCCAAGTCTGATTCAACATCAGAGGATCGTACACCAGTTGATTTGTGTAAGAAAATAGCTGCTACTGAACATTTTCGGTTCAAAAAGTAACTTCACTTACTTGATAGCATGTAGAGTGAGGTTGAAGTTGCCAACAAAATCGTGGGATAGAAGTTGTTTGACCTTGTTTTCGCAACTTGGTCATGGTTGTAGGAAGATTAATAGAAAATCAG